TCCCGGGCCGGGCCCGCCCCCCGGGCCTCCCCTCGCTGTTTCCCCTCTGTTCTGGGGGAGGTCACCAGACCTATCCTGAGACTTCGGGGTTCTTGTGGCCAGAATTCAATGTGCCCCTCCGGAGGCGGCTTTTCTTTCCATCCCCTCCCTGTGGGCAGTGGACAGGTAGAGGGGGACGAGGGATTCTAAAGAGATCTTCGGAGTGAAAGAAGCCAAGAAGGTAGCAGGGGAAGAAAATCAAATAGAGACAGATAGAATGTGGATCTCCAGGGAGATGAGGGCAGCAGAGTAGGGAGAGGAGCAGGAAAAGGGAGGCGCTTAGAGCTGGAGGAGGGGAGAGGTGTCTGCCACAGCCGTGGCAGACAGCAACGTGATGTCCTCTGAATGTGACAGGTGTCCCATGCTTTAGCCTTGAACCTCTTCTGGACGATACCCACCGCCTTTCTTATCGCCTCCTCCATGGCTTTGACACCAAGCCTGTGTCTCCATTCACTCTGCAGAGCTCTCTCAGGAACCCTAGCATCCTGTGTCCAGGTGTCCTCTCCTCTTTGCTGGGACATGGCAACGGGTATCTCTGCCTTCATAGTCCCCGTGTGACTTCCTGAGCTCTGCACGTCACTTCCTCTATAGTCTTCGGTATGTCAGGTACGGGTGACCCTGCCCTTCCTGGAGTTTAGCTTACGCATATACGTTAAGTATAGGATGCGATATAATATTTGTAAGTATTTTGGTGTAAAATAGAAAAATCAGATCTTTATATCAGATGGGTGTCAAAGTCTATCATTTCTAAAATTCATATCAGATGTGGGAGACAAATACTAGATCTCAGCCACACCTGCTCTGCTTCCAGAAGTCCTTCCCTGCTTTCCTCTCCTGCAGTATCCTCCTCCCTGCTCTCTGCTTGGGCCACACAGGCCTCTTACCTTTCCTAGGGACGCTGTTGCTCCTGCCTCTGGACATGACCTGGGTTCTTTCTCAGCTCAGGACTCGCTGGCCCATCAGGTGCTGGCAGTGGGCATCCTCCTTTCCAGGTCTTTGTTCTGATATCAGCGTTTCCATGGAGACTTCTTTGATCACTCCACATTCCACTGACACCCCAACTGCACGCTCACTCCCACTTCTCGTCCCTGTTGCCTCCTCTGCAGATTTCTTTCTCATCCTTCTGAGTCCACTGCCTGGATCCTGGGGGCAGCAAGGCTCCAAAGGGAGAGCCGAGCTAGAAGGTGGGAGGGGGTCTGGGCCTGCCCTCCTGTGTGGTGCTCGGCTCTGGCTTCCCATTGGAGTGCTGAGGTGTTTTGCAAATAAGTCTCCTGTGGCCCCTACCGGAGAGTCCCATTTCCATGGTCACCCAGGGACCAAACTTTAGTAATATGTAAAGTTGGTTCAGTTAAGTGCATACCACTAGACACCCAGACGCTCCTGCATTTCTGGGGGCTGAGATCAGCTGTGATCCACGGAGGAATGAGGAGATGTGCGTGGGTCTGGTCAGGGCTGGGACTGTGTCCTGGAGGAGAAGTCGGTGCAGCCCAGCTCCCCACTGCTGCTGGGTGTTGGGGCTTCACCAGGAGGGGCACACTCTGAAGAAGTGTCAGGGCCGTCTCTGGTTGGGCCTCCTGCAGGAGCTGCGTTCCACTGCATCCCCACCCTCAGGGCAGTGGGCAGCAGAGGACAAACATTTCTTCATGGTTTCTCTTTTATGTCGGTGGTGTTCCAGGAAGGATGTGTTTATTCTGAGTTTTAAACAGTGTGCTTTTCACATTCAGGATTAACTTGTAAAGACTCAATGTTCCATAAGGAAGAAGCCAAGAAGAGGAAAGAAAAGGAGTTGAGAATGGCCGTTATTCAGGTAGAGTGCTGATCTTACTTGCTTATTCTGTCTCCCTCCTTTGTGAAGTGCTGCATGTGGGACTGCTGACATCCCGTAACCCTGCAGCCTGCTGTGTCTGCTGACACTCACCGCGCTGCCTTCCGCCTCACTCATCTCTAGGACTCCGTCTCACCTGGGACCAGTGACTTGGATCATGTGAGGAGGCTCCATTGGTCATGGTTCTAGGAGGCTCCTGTCATTCTTGTTGGTCTTTCCAAAAAGTTAATGTTTTATTGGTTAATCTGGAGCTGTGTGATTTATCTGTACTGTGATACTCATTTCTTCCTTCGTGTTGCTTATGGTGTTTTCCTCTTTTTTTTTTTTTTGATTGACATGTAAATTTATGGGTTGAGTTTGTCCTTTGTTCTGGACATAAAATTTTTCTAACTTCAACTTCTTACCATTGCTGTTCCTACGTTCTGTAAGTTTTGGCATATTTGTTTTCATTTTACTCGAGCCACAGATGTTTTCTGAAGTCTTCTCTTGCTTGTACCTATTGGTTATTTGAAAGAGTTTAATTTTCACATATTTGTGAGGTTTTTTATTTCTTTAGCTGTTGATGACTGCATTCAGTCCATTGGGCACAAAAGAAAGTTACAATGATTTTGACTTGGTTCGACTTACTGAAGAGTTGTTTTAACCTAACCTGTGGTATATCAAATAGATGTTCCTTGTGTGTTTAGAGGTGGTACTTTCTGCTGCTGTTGCCTGGAGTGTTCTGTGCACGTCTGTGAGGTGCACATGCTGTGTAGTGTAGTGTAGTGAAGCCCTCTGTTTGTTTCTTGGTCAGCTGGTTATTCTGTCCGTAAGTGATACGGACCATGACTGTCCCCCAGGTATTGTGCTAGTACCTAGTTCCGTTGATATTTGCTTCATCCATTGAAGAGGTTTAATGTTGGGTGCATACTTGTAATTATCCTCTCTCCTGGGGAACTGCCCTTTTAGCAATTATGTAAAGTCCTTCTTTTTCTCTTGTGACAGTTTTTATATTAAAGGCCATGTATTAAAATATAACAGCTATTCCTGCTTACTTTAGTTTCCATTTGCATTTTATTTTCAATCTCTTCACATTTATCCTGGGTGAGTCCTTTAATCAAAAGTATACCTTTGGTTTACAGCATGTAGTTGAATCTTGGTTTCCTTTTTTCCTCTCTTCAGTCATCATATGTCTTTTAATTCAAGCATTTAATTCATTCAGATTGGACACAGTGATTCATAGTGAAGGACTTTTGTACCTTTATCTTAAGTTTTATGCATTTTTATGCTCTTCTTTCATTTCCGCTTCGTAGTCTCTCATTAGAAACTCTTGGGCTGAGCAAGCCACTGCATGTGTGTAATTCCAGTAACTGCGGAGGCCAAAGCAGATGGATCCCAAGTTTGAGGCCAGCCTGGGCAAATTAGCAAGACTCTCTCTCCCACCCACCCCACCCCCAAAAAAACTAGAAAAAGACGGGAAGGCATAAATTCTTGTAGTACAGGTTTAGTGGTAATGACCTTCCTTCATTTTTATGTGGCCAGTCTCAGTTTCTCTGTTTTGAAGGACACTTTTGCCTGGTAGTCTTGTCACCTGGCGGCGTTTTCGGTCAGTGCTATGAGTGTTCCGTCCCCTACATGTAGCTGGCAAGGTTTCTGCTAAGAGATCTGACACTCCTAGGAGCACGCTCCCAGGTGGAAAGTCACTTTTCTCTTGCTCTTGTTAAGTCTTTTTTGTCTCTGACTTTTCATGGTTCCATTTTGATGGGTTTTGGTGTATGTCTGTTATATTCTAGTTGGATTTCTCTGAGCTTCTCAAACTTGTATGGCCATCTTGTTCATATTTTTAGAAATTTGGGCAGTCTTACTTTCAGACAGGGTCTCTACACTTTCTTCCTCTTCTAAGGTATATATGATGCTCTTTTATAGAAATCTCTTGCTGGGGATTTAGCTCAGTGGTTCTGCCGCCTGCTCTGCAAGAGCAAGGATCCGAGTTTGATCCCCCGTACAAAAAAGAAATCCCTTAACCCCTTGCATAGCCTTCAGTTTTTCTCTTACAGGACTTACATTAAAAGTTCCAGCCTCTTAGGTGTTTTGAGTTCTCCTAAGGGCAACCGGTTGCTGTGTTGTTCTGAAATCCTTATTTCTGTGAGGGGGGAACAACTGGGGCCTCCTGCTCCTCCATCCTGATATCAGTCCTTCAAGATAGTTGGATAATTTCTTTTCATGGAACAATGTAAGACTGTGGTATATTTGCTAATGGAAATATAGGATGTGTCACGTGTACGTGTCAAGTGCATGTGTATTTAGTGAGTGCTGCGAAGGGTGGAAGAGTATTTTCACAGGTTTTGGTCGCTATATTTCACAAACATTCTTCTTCCACATTATGCTCTGTTAGTTTTTAACAAATCAGCTCTGTCTCCCCTACCTTGCTGTTTTCTACCTGGAGTTTCTCTTTCACTACAAGGAAGTCCATCCAGTATATATTTCCAGTCATAATGTTTGGTGAAATATGCTTGGTAAATATCAGGTTTAATGATTTTACATTTTCAGATTACATTTTTTATGCTGCTTTTCAATTTTTCAATAATTTCATCATGTGCTATTGCAGTACATAACTTTTTCTTTTAATCTGTTAAATTAATTATTTAAAAATTTCAGGCTGAGGACATAGCTGAGAGGTAAAGTGCTTCCCTAGCTTGTATGAAGCCTTGAGTTTGGTCCCAGCACCATACATTTTTTGAAAAAAAATCCTCGTATTACAATTTATTAAACTAGTAAATTTCGCCGGTGTTTTGGTACTAGCTATCTTTAATTTAAATTGCTAAAGTTGTAAATATATTTTAATCTGAATAATTTAGTAGACCTTGGAGTTCAAGTTCCATTATCTAAGTTTTCACATGCCATTTTAAACATCCTAGTAAACACTAGTGTTTTATGGTCTAAAGTGTATTTTTTTCAATTTCATTGTCCATAAATGATGTGATACACATTGGTATAAGTGGTGATTTAAAAAAAAAATCACTGGAAAGAATCATTGAGAGAGACTCCTTTTAAAATTGTTCCTTTGAGTGTAATGTTTGTGCAAGAGTACATAGATATGCAGTTCCCTGGTGTTTATCCAGGTCACATCATTATTTTCAATATTTCATTTATTTGAAATCCTTTGCAATGCTGGAGCTCAAGCCGAGGGTCTTGTGCATGGTGGGCAAGTGCTCACTGAGCTACATACCACCCCAAGTGTATGTTTTCTAAAAGTAAAAGCTATATATTAGATGCTTTCTTTTGCCTTAAATATATACTACCCTATCCTGTGAATACATAGGTAACAGTGAGAAACATATAGTATGTGTGTATGTGTGTATATAAATCATGAACTTTCATGCAAACTTATGTTATCCTGAACTTGTTTCTAGTTTCTTTACTTAGGAAACCTAATGTTACTATTATTTTTTAAATTGATTTATTTTTGTCACTTTATATTTGATGCAGTATCTCTTGCTGAAGTGTTTGATTCTTTAGCTTTCATTCTGATTCCCAGGCACCTTGGTCCAGGTGTTTGCTCTGCAATTTTTTGCTCTTTGACATTAGGCAAGTCCCTTAGTGTTTGTGAACACAGTTTTCTCGATAGTAATGGAAATGTTTTTATTGTGCACATATTTTATTGTTTTTCTCTATGCATTATGCATGTAAAGCAGTTAAGAGTAATATCCAGTACATAGAAGTGTCCAGGAGCTTTAGCCATTCCTATTTCTGTTGTTATGGTGCTTCTTAGAGTGTGATCTTTCTTTAAAGCTGCTGTGAATCTTGTCTTTTCTCAACACACCATTCATCCACTTAATGTGCTGGACATAACATCTCACATTTTCATAGAGAAAAGCCTGTGCCCTTTCTTTATTTTTACATTTCCTGTCCACAAAATGAGAAATCTATACTTGATTTAGAGAGTATTATAATCTCTTGTGTAAAACTATAGTTAATTATTTTTTGGTACTGGGCATCGAACTCAGGACGTTGAGCTTGCAAGGCAGGAAGTGGCACCACTGAGCTAAATCCCTGGTGCTTCTGTAAAACTACAATGTAACACAATTGTAGAGACAAAACATGTTCAGAAATATCTTGCCTTGTGTGAGTATATAGGAGAGACAAAGTCACGCCCTCCTATCCAGTCACCACACAGAGATCTGTCACTCCACATGTGTGAGGATTTTTCTGCACACACTAAGTGAACAGTTCTGCGGGGGATGCTGTCTAATTCAGTCTAATTCTGACACTATGTCGAAACAGCCTACATTCCCCTGTTGAGGCCTCAGACCTACCCAAGTGTCCCCATATCAGATGACAGCTGCAGGCACAACTTGTAGCCTGTGGTTCTGATGATCAGCTATAAATGGAGATCTCCGTTCCTACAATCTCATTCTTATGTTCAAATAATTTTGGTATGGAAGCTCTAGTTAGCAAAATTTAATTAGCAAAACAAAATTAGCAAAAACACTTATCTGTAGTATTTGTTACAAAGTTTGTTAAACAGATGGATACCCAGATGGGAAAGATGCAGAGAGTGAGATATGGGAAAAGGAACCTGGCGTGTCTGTGCCTTCTGTGGATGCTTCACTTTCCAGAAACCTCCAGACATTCCTCCGTCTGCTGGCTTCTTTGAACCCTGTCCTTGGGGTTTTATGGAGGCTCCATTACATAGGCATGAATCATTTTATCATTGACATTGCTGATTAATACTTTAGGTGCCCTCCCTTCCCTGGAGGTTGGGGGTATGAGTGACTGTCGTGACCATGAAATCCTGCCTCGGTCTTCTTCAAGATCAGGACCTATGCTGAAGCAACCCAAGAACCTCCTCGCTTTCACTTCGGTGGCACCTACTGTTACGTTCCCTTCCATTTCGTTTTTTGTGACAATTATAACTCTTGCCGATTCCCCATGGTGAAACATACTTTTCATTTCAGGGTCTGTTGACATTCAGGGACGTGGCCATAGAGTTCTCCTGGGAGGAGTGGAAACGCCTGAACCCTGCTCAGAGGACTTTATACAGGGACGTGATGTTGGAGAACTACAGGAACCTGGTCTCCCTGGGTGAGGACGGCTTCCTCCAGAAGTCAGATCTACTCCGTGTCTCTGCGTTTCCCCTGTGTCCTCATGGGATCCTCTGCATTGTCTGACCTAGGCAGATTCCCTGTTGCCTGTGAAATGTGAAGCTTCCCAGTGTAGCATCTGCACTTAACTGTCCTCTTTCGTCAGGTGCTCTGCCCCCTCTGTGATAGATGTGTCACTGGTGGGTCTAGAGTCGCAATATGCATGAAAGCTTATAGCAAACTTTTAAAATAATCCAGTTTCCTGTTTTTTTCTTTTTCCGCTTTTGATTATTCATCCATCGAAGAGGGCTAGGTCTTTGTATAAAACAGTGAAATATTTGTCTGGATCGCTGTAATCTCAAGTAAACAGGCCTAGAGTATGGAAAAGCCACAGCATATCACACGCCTTCCTTTTTCCAAGCAGGAATTTCTCCTTTTGACCTGAGTGTTGTCTCCTTGTTGGAGCAAGGACAGCCCTGGAGTGTGGATGGCCAGGTGAAAGTGTCCAGAAACCCAGTCCAGTGGAAAAGTGTCAGAGGTTTGAACACAGGTAAGAGCTCAGACAGGCAGAGCAGAAGCTGCACCATTAAATAGCGTCTGGAAACTTCAGTAGTTGAAGAGTTCTGTGGGAAAACAAGTTTACTTCCTCTGTGGTTATGGAGTAGGGTTTTCTTTACCATCTGTTGTTACCTGTCACCCGAGTGAAAGGTGCCAGTTGATTCTTTTACCCATCAGTGGTGCTGCAGCTCAGAAACATGAGTGGTGTCTCTGTCATGTTGATGATCTGCATCATTGCTTCTGTGAACTCTTCGTGTTCTCACTGTGCTGTGTCCGAAGGGCCTTTTCCTGTCTCCTGTTAGACTCGTGTGTTCTTAATTCCATCTGACGCTCAGTTCTCACTCCATAAACATCAGAGCACAGGTCCCCATCGTCCTGATCCCTCCACCATGTTCCACATCCATGTTTGGTCCCATTTCCTATTTGGAAGTTCCAGGTGGGAGATGGGAAACCATGGCTGCTCATCCTTACACCTGAGACCCCAGAAACCACTCTGAGCTGACCCAGCTGTCTCCCCCTGCGTGTTTACTTAGCCCTTTCTTGCATCCTTCTTTTAGCACTTCTCAGCTATGTATAATGGGAGTGCGATAGGTCTTCTGAGATTGTTATTCCTCGGAGCTGTAAAGGTAGTCAAAGGCAGGTCTCCTCTTTGATCAGTGGTCCTCCGTGGGGAGCACATACTCAGTCTTTCGGGCTTTTAGCATTGAGCTGTGTGGACAGAGCAGATTTCCATCTCCAGGTCCCACAGAATCCTTGATTTCCATGTATTAGGTTGCTTTCTCTTCTACTCTTCCTAGTCTGTGAGTATAGAAAAACCTTGGCTCTTCCTGATTCTCCTTTTTGATTTTTACTGTTTGTGCTATTTTTGCCTGAAATTTACTTTTTCTTTGTTTATTTCATTGGTGGTATGGGGGATGCTATTTAGGGTTTTCCTACAACTAAACTGTAACCTTAACCCTTGTTCTTTTTTTTTTTTTGGTACCACAGAGCAAACTTGGGACATTTACACTTGCAAAGTGGCGGCACCACTGAGCTAGATCTCCTACCCTACCCTTGTTATTTTTATTCTAAACCAAGGTCTCACTAAGTGCCCAGGCTGGCATCAAACATGCAGTCTGTCCTCTCCCTCAATTCCTAAGTAGCTGACACACAGCAAATTGATAAAATTTGTATGCAAATTCTTGTGATCTGACATGTCATCTTTTTCTGCTCTGGTAACCCACTCTGAGGTTAATTGTGGCTTCTTGTGGTCTATTCCACAGAGTGTAAACACTCATAACAACTCATGACGCAAAATAGTTTGCCTAATAAGTTTGAATATCACTCTCCCACCTGCCAGGTGGCCCTGGAAACCCTGAGTGGGGTTCTCAGCCTGTCTTGGGATATTTGAGACTGTAGAAAAACCACACTGAGCTGTTATAATAGATACAAATATCAGTAGTGCCTGACTCAGCCTTGATTCTAGCTGTCTTGTGGTTTTTAAGACTATCACAGAAGTGTCTTTCTGTGGCACAGTGAAAATATTGTCACACATCACATACAGGAGCATCGTCCCCATTGAGCCAGCAATCTGTGCCACAGATACATCTCTTAGCACACTTCTCAGGTTCATGGTCTCATGCATAAGGCTTTGCAGTACTGCCCTTTGTGCCCCACGGGTGCCGTTGTTCATTCTCAACAGCAAACCTTTGCTCAGGCCTTTGTTCAGTGTAGTGTAAGCTCAAACTTGTAAAAACATGTCTTTTTTTGTGCATCCTACTGGGACAAACTTACGAAGTTGAACGAAGGCTACCATCATTTGTTTAAGACAATAATCTGTACACCAACACCCCACCACCACCAGGGATCAAACTCAGGACCTTGCATTTGTAAGTCAGGCACAGTGCTACTGAGCTAACCGTGTGCCTCCCCACTGCCAGTAATCTTTACTCTTACACCTTTCCATGTGGTGTAAATGAACATTTTTGTGTTTCATCAGCAGTAGCAATTCCTTGTTTCATATCTGCAATGTGTGGCACTGTTCAGTTGAGGGTTATCTATTGCTTTACATATTTAGAAGGTTTCCTTCTTCACTGCAGAAACTATAACTCATACAATTCACAAGATTCCAGAAAACTTTTATTTCCTTTAGTTTTGATTTTGGGTTTTTTGTTTTGTTTTGTTTTTCTGGTACTGGGGTCCCAGGCAGGCACAGTATCAACCTTTGGTTTTGTTTCACAAAACTCAGAACATGCTGTTCAAGTAGGCCCCACTCCCACCCCCATACCGGCGCTCAAACTCAGAACTTTGCACTTGCAAGGCAGGCGAGATGCCATTGAGCTAAATCCCGGGCCGTGAAGTACTTTTCTGTGTTATATTTATTTCTTTATATTTTTAATTTATAACTTTTGAAATCTTGTCATCGTTTTTTGTTTTATTCCTGTCTTAATCTCAGAAATGTTTTTAGATGGCTTTCCTTCTTTTGTTAATACTTTTTTCCCATTTGTGTGTTCTTAATTTTGTAAACTTCTGTGTTTTATGTATGTATTGCTGATTTATTTCTTGGAATGAATGTTACATTGTTGTTTTGACACAGGTTCTCACTATACAGTTTAGGCTGGCCTTGAACTCACTGTATAGCCCAGCCTTGCCTCAAACTCACAACGATCCTCTTGCCTCATCCTCTGAGTGCTGGGATTATAGGCGTGCCCTCCATGCATAGCTACAAGTGCTATATTCTAGTCAATGTTTTTCTATGTAGATTCATTGTATTCATCTTGTCATACAATGATACCTGGGTTGTCAAAGTGAATTTGTTACAAATTCATATTTGAACACTGAAAAATTTGAGAACTAATCATATATTTTCCAAATGAAATAATGGAAAATAAAATCATTGGTGCTGAGGCCCAAAAATTACAGTAAAATTCTTTTTTCTAAGGCTTTAACTGATTTCACAGTGATTTCTTCCTTTAACTCTATTTTGGTTCTAAATTTTCTTCTGACCTTTACTGCTAGTGCCACCAACTATCTTTGGACGTATTGTTAAAATATTTTATGCAAATAAAGCACAGTGATCCATATTTTAACACCCTAACACAATTATTATATGTTATCTGGGTGAGAGCAGCACTTAAACTGAATCGTCACCCCTTTGGCTCCGCAGCAAGGCTACTAATATATACATTAGTATTACTTATAATATCTCTGTAAGATTTCGTCCAATGAATTTTACAGTGAATGAACTGAACAGAATTAGGTTATACCATATTTCTCTTGCTGCTTGAATGTAATTCAGTTGATTACCATGAATGTTTAAATCTACTTTTTCCTCCATCTTATTTTTTCCTTTGCCATGAGCAACTGCCATTCTTTTTATTCTTATGAATTTGACTCTTAGATGGCTTACATATTTGGAATTGTACAGTGTCTGTTTTTCATGACTCTTGTTCAGTTCACATTTTTGTTTAGTTTACATTGGAGCATAATCTCCAGATTTATTTATATTCCATAGAATAGGATTTCTGTCTTTTCAAAGGCTGAACGGTATTCTATTATATCTGGGCTTTTCTCTGTTTTCCACTAATAACACAAAATTGTGAGTCTGAATAATGTATGAAGGAAAGGTTATTTAGCTCATATTTTGGGATCTGAAAGGACAGGAGCAAGTGTCCCTATCTGTACATCCTTTAGTGAGGGCATCTTGTTAGGAGCATGTGCAGGAGAAGCGAATTTGCAGGAGAGACGGTATAGTGAGACAGGAAGTCTGTATTAGTCTCCCCAGAACTCACGCACTCTATCAGACCTGCATTAATCCTTCCTGTGGGCAAAATCCCCAGTGAGCTCGTTACTTCTCACCAGGCTCCACCTCTTTATGGTCCTTCACTTCCAACATCACCACACTGAGGGCCAAGTGTCCAAAACACAAACCTTGGGGAACAAACAACAAAACCTCAGCCACATTTTGTTAATTCCTCTCGGGTTGCTTCCATCCTTTGACTACTCTAAATAATACTAATATGAATGTTGGTTTACAAATACCTCTTGCAAAATATATTTTTCATTGTTGGGGCTACATATTATATGGCTTGAGACTCATGGTAATTCTTCTGCCTCAACCTCCCAGGTGCTCGGTTTACCTGTGTGCGTGACTACACCCAGCTGGCATTGAGTGTTTGAAATAGTTTATCTGTGGCTCCTGAAATGATCTTGAGATTTTTTTCTTTCATTGTGCTCATGTGGTGCATTGTCTTTATATTCCAGGAATAAATCTCACGTGGTCATGGTTTTTTATCTGTTTTAATGTGTTTTGGTTAGTATTCTGTTCAGTATTTTACATCAAATGTATCAGGGATAGCATTGATCTTTAGTTTCTTTGCGATTCTCTTGGCCTGGCTTTTTTGTCAAGGTTATGCTACCTTATAGAACAAGTGTGGTCTTCCTTCTTTCTCCATATTTTAGAACAGTTACAGGAAGATTGTAAGTATTTGGTAGCATTCTCCACTGAGGACATTGAGTCACGTCCTTTTCTCTTGTGGGAGGTTTTTGGTGATGACTCAGTTTCTTTGCTACTGGTCTGTTTCAGATTTTCTGTTTCCTTATGATTGTGTGTTTCTAGGATTTTTATCTGCAATATTTTTTCTTGGCCCTATATGTTTTGCAATATTCCTTTTTATTTGCATAGAACTAAATATTTGTAAGGTCCCCTCTTTTTTGTGATTGTAGTTGAGTCTTTTGTTTCTTTTAATTAATTTAGCTATGAATGTTATCAATTTTGTGTTTTATATATAAAACCTCATAGTTTTGTAATTTTCTATAGTGCTATTTTGCATTTAGTAATTTTCAGCCCTATCATTTGTTGCAGTAGATGTCAGTTATTGCATGGCATACTTTCTAAGACCCCAGATGAGGAACTGTAGCTGCAAGTTATACCAAACCCTGTATATACTGTGTCTTTTTTCTATGCATGCATAACTAAGATGAAGTTTTACTTTCAAATTAGGCACAATACATTATAAGTAACACTAGCTAATAGTGAAACAGAACAGCAGTGTTACTTGCCCTGTGCGGTTACAGTCTCAAGGATTTACCAGCCTGGATACAGCTCCCTCGTGCCCATCACTCACTCCTGTCCGTGCTTGTGTCTTCTCATGCTGGCTTTTTCTCATGTACTTACTTGATCTGGATGCACTGTACTGGTACTTCTTAGTATATTTCTTTTAGTCTGTTTACTCCAGTTTGCAGAGGACTCCCACACTAACCTCACTGTGTAAGGAAAGTCACCTACTCATCCTTTAGATGTTCTCAGGACACTACCTAAATCAGTGTGTGCAGTGTTGATGGCTTGGATATCATTGTCTGCGAGGGATGGCTGAGTGCCACAGCGTAGCTCACCTTTCTCTTTCTTTTGAAATGTTACTTTCCATGTTTCTTGTATTTACTGTGACTTCTTGTATTACATACTACCTCTGTGAATTGGTATCTTCGACAACATGTTGATTGATCCTACAGGCCAAGAATGAAATCCTATTTCTCTCACTTATAGTCTATATAAATTGTTAGAAGAATAAATGATATTGATCTACTCTCCTTAATTGAAGAGTAATGTTAACTTACCTCAAGGTTTTTTACATAATAGTGCTGTGAAATAGTTAATAATAACACTTCTATAGTAAATAGTTCAGTATTCCTTTGTTTATAAGACTGGTTTACCTTCTGTTCTTTTTATGATGAAAGGATTCTTTTCATATCTTATTTATCTCCATCTTCCATTAGAAATAACATAGACTAGTATGCTTTAACCACAAAAATTTATTTCTTACCAATATGACAGAAATTTTCATAAGCAAGTCACCTATTGAATTAGTTTATTCAGTGTTTTAGTTTCTTTCAAACTGAGGATTTCTGCTGTTGTTTTGAATTACATATAATCAAAGTTTTCTTTTTTTTCCTAAAATGTAAAAATCAGGAAGTTTCATAATTATTGTTATACTGATTTGTTTTGGTGTAATGTCATGTGTTTCAGTAACAATTCACTTACCATCTGTAATTAATCAGAACCCAACAATTTCTTATATTTCATAGATACCTCTCCTAAATGTGTGGTCAAGGGATTTACCCCCAAAGGGAGAAGTGATACTGGAGAAATGTTCCAGGCAGCAATGTTGCAAAAACATAAAATTCACAATATTCAAGAAGTGTGCTTCAAAGAAATCCAGACAAATATGCGTGACTTTGAGTGCCGTTGCAGAGAGGATGGAAGACTTGACAGAGGCTTCTGTGTGAATCACAAGGAAAATCTCACTGACGGAAGAGATGAACATGGTCAAAGGAATGCAGGAGAGAAACATACTAAAAATTGGCTTGGGTTAAGTTTTCAATCACATGTACCTGAACTGCAACTATCTGAAAGAGAAAAGAACATTTATGAGTGTAATTACCTTGAGCAGTCTGTCAACAGTGATTCCTCAGTTTCATCCAACCAAAGAAATCCTTCTAGTATGAAAAAAAACATTTCTCATGAATATAAAAATGATTTTCTTCAGTCTTTATCTTTCACCCAAGAACTGGTAATGCACATTAGTACAAAACCTTACAAATGGAATGAGTGTGGGAAATCCTTTACCCAAGATTCCCAGTTTACTATGCATCAGATATTCCATACTGGAGAGAAACCCTTTATTTGTGATATATGTAGTAAAGTTTTCAATCAGAAATCAAATCTTATAAGCCACCGGAAAATGCATACTGGAGAGAAGCCTTATAAATGTAATGAATGTGGAAAAGTCTTCAGTAAAAAATCCTATTTAGTAGAGCATCAAAGAATCCATACTGGAGAGAAACCTTACAAATGTAATCAATGTGGCAATGTTTTCAGGTATAGATCATCCTTATCAAAGCATCAAAGCATCCATACTGGAGAGAAACCTTTCAAATGTAATAAATGTGGTAAAATGTTCAGTTGTAATTCAAACCTTGCAGAACATCTGATAATTCATACTGGAGAGAAACCTTTCAAATGTTATGACTGTGGGAAGGCGTTCAGTCACAATTCCTGCCTTACCTGTCATCTTAGGATTCATACTGGAGAGAAACCTTATAAATGTAATGAATGTGGAAAGGCCTTCAGACAAAAGTCAGATCTTGCATGTCATCAAAGAATTCACACTGGAGAGAAACCTTACAAATGCAATGATTGCAGCAAGGTGTTCAGTGTTCATTCATCTCTAGCAAAGCATCGGAGAATTCATACTGGAGAGAAACCTTACAAATGTAATGAGTGTGGCCACGTTTTCTGTTACAAGTCATCCCTAGCAATGCATCAAAACATTCACAGTAGAGAGAAACCTTACAAATGTAATGAATGTGGTAAAGTGTTCAGTTGTAGTTCATACCTTGTACTACATCTGATAACTCACACTGGAGAGAAACCTTTCAAATGTAATGAATGTGGCAAGGTTTTCCGTCGCAAGTCCCACCTTGCAAGTCACTGTAGGATTCATACTAGAGAGAAACCTTACAAATGTAATGAATTTGGCAAGGTCTTTAATTAAATTTCACATCTTTTGAATCATCATAGAATTCCCACTGTCAAGAACCCACAGAAATGTACTAAATGGGGAAAACATTCTATCACATTTCACACCTTCCCCAACATAAACAGTTCATACTGGACAGAGACGTTTCACAGTGTAATGAATGGGAAAAGTCTCCAGTTACAAATTCTACATTGTACAACATTTGATAATTCTTACTGGAGAAAAACTTCAGAATTGTAATGAATGTAGAGGTCTTCAGTTTAAACCCATCTCTAGCAAATCATCAGAAAGTCCATACTGGAGAGAAATCTTAAAATTTTAATGACTTTGGTAAGGTATTCAGTCATACATCGTCCCTAGTAAAGTATGAAAATCCATACTGGGGGAAAAACTTACAAATATAATGAATGTAATAAAGTGTTGAGTTGTAATTTATACCTTGCAGAACATTGGATAATTGACACTGGACAGAAAACTTTCAAATATAATGAATATGGCAAGGTGTTCTGTTGCACTTGCTACACTCCATGTCATCGTAGGAGTCATACTGTGGAGAAAACTTATAAATGTAATGAATGTGGCAAAATTTTCTGTCCAAACTCACTTGTAGCACATAGGGAATTCATACTCCAGAGAAACGTTAAAAATGTAATTAATGTGGCAAAGTGTTCAGTCTAAAATCCCTAGCACATCATTGGAGAATTCATACTTGAGGGAAACCTTAGAAACATAATAAATGTGTATCTTTATTAAGTCTAATTCTAGTGACTTCACTAGAAATTCATCCTGGAGAGAGAGCTGATGGCCGAATGAGGCAGAAGTCTTCAATCCGGGTAAAATCCTTACAACATTGGACAGTTTCTGCTGGAAAGAAATTTCATGTATGATCAGTGAGGCATGCCTTGAGTTATTATTTAAGCCTCACTGACCATAAGCTAATCCATACTGGAAAAGAAACCTTACATATTGGTTGTACAGTGCTTTAAGGTGAAAATTAGACATTGATATTCACCAAAACACTCAAAGTGGAAGGCACCTCTCAAATGGAATGAGTACTAAATACGTGAATATGCACTCAAGCCTCAGTACACATCGGAAAATAGATCTTGGAGAAAAAAAACCTAAGAAAAGTCAATTTGGCATATCCTATTTTGTGCTTGCACTTCAGTGAATATCAGATAACCTGTACTGGAGAGAAACCACAGATGTGCACATTCACACCTTGCGTAGCACTAGAATTTGAACAACTGATATAAATATGAATGTGGCAAAACCTTTATGATGAATTCAAGCAATAGTCAATATCCCAGTTTGCACTAAAGATATTAAAAACTGCATATAAAACAGATTCGTACCCCTCAGAATTCACTAGGCATCAAATGATAAATCTTTGAGGGAGCCATACAAATGTAATGAGCATGCCTACTTGGTTATTATCAAAGCATTAAAGCTATGAAATAGAACAGTGGAACTAGGGAGCAGTCTTGCACATTTAGTAATATAGTGAGATTTCATTTTCTCATAGTCCATCCTTTCCTTTCCCCTACCTCTCCCACTACCCCTTCCCCTTTTCTTCCTATTTCACATTATCTATTATACATTTAAGATCTTAAGTTTCTCACACCAGAGAAAATTTCGTATTTACATGTGTGTCCTATTTATTTCACTTGAGTATAGCTTCAATGTCCATTTAGCTATGTCTTTAGTTTCTCATTTTTTATGGCTGAGTAGTACTTCATTTTATTAAAAAAAACAAAAAACAAAACATTTTCTTTATCCAGTCTGCTATTGGTGGGCAATTGGGCTGCTTCCAAGTTTTAGCTGTCATAAATTGTGCTACTATGAACATGGGTGCACATACATCACTGTGGTAAGTTTCTTTTAATTTTTTGGGAAACACCCAGCAGGGGGATAGCAGGGTCAAATGGGCCTCCAATCCTAGTTCTTTGAGGTTTCTCCATACTGATTTCCACAGCACACTCCCACCAGCAGTGGTGCAGGGATCCTCTTTCCTCAGCCCTGCCTGCATTTGTCATTAGTTTATTTTATGATAGCAGCCATTTCTCCATCTCCCGCTGGAGGTGGAATTTTGTTTTCATCTGCATCTCTCGAATGACCAGTGATTTCTGAACATTTTTTCATATGTTTATTTGCTATTTCTACTTTGAGAAATGTCTGTTAATTTCAGATGCCCATTTTTGGATTGGATCTTTAAATTTAGGAGATCTGATATTTTAACCTTTTTTATATAGTCTAGTATAGTCTAGATAGACTTTTTTTTGGTACCGGGGATCGAACTCCGGTCCTTGTGCTTGCAAGGCAGGCGGAGGAACCACTGAGCTAAATCCCCGGCCCTAGATAGACTTTTGACTGAGGAACAGCCAAATTTTTTTCCCCAATTTGTGGGTTGTCTCTTCACATGGTTGGTGGTTTCTCTTGCTGTGCAGAAGCTTTTTAGTAAGAAGAGATCCCACTTGTTGATTGATTGTGCTAGTTCACATGCAACTGAGTACTTTCCGTTCTGATCCCGAGGAGCCAGTCGTGAATCGGGCTCAGCACGGATCGGTCCATGCAGACTCCACGACGGAGCAGCACCGCCTCTACTGAAACCGGACTCGCGCGGACCTCAACCGCAGCCGCTGGCCAGGCCTTCAGGGCCCTTGACGGCCGCCAAAGACATAGAAGAGACCGTGTGAGGCGCTCCAAATCCTGCCCAGGCGCACCGCAGGCCCAGCAGCGGGACGGAACAAAACACTCATCGCCGGACCAATGCTTTTCTTGGGTTTCCCCGTTGAATTACACATTCGGCCCAGGAATGTGTTTCAGGTCATATTCTAGTTTGCACAGTCTTCCCAAGCAATTCCAAGGTTTTTAAGTTAAATTCCTCGTTAAGGTTAACAGCAAGAACCGCGCAGCACTGACCTCACCGGCCTCGTGAAGGAGACCCCTGGTCCACACCTCCGAGCCTCCCCGCGCCCCTGAGCGGTCCCCTCACCGGAAACTCCCAGTGAGACCCCGGAGGCGCGTAGGCCCCGCCCTAGGCCCGCCCACCGCTAGCGTTTCTCCGCCCACCGCTCGCATGTCCCCGCCCAAGCCTGGCCTCTTTGCTGCGCGCTGCAACCCGCCAACCCGGAAGCGCATCTTGGGGAGTGCTGGTCCCCTTTGAGTTTCTGTGCGGGTTCTTAGCACTTCGCTGTCCGGACCTGGGTCCCTAGTGACCTTCGACTTCCCGCACCGCCCCCTCCACGCAAGTCCATTCGGACGCCACGGGGAGAGCCGCGTGGGCCCTGCAGGGCGCAGGAGTTCGAGGCCCATCCTAGCCCTTCCTCCGCGCCGCCCCTCACCCCGACGTCCTTCCCGCTAGGGGACGGGGTCTCGCCCTGCGCTTGCACTCCCGGCCGGTTCCGATCCCTTCGCTGTCCTCTCTCTTTTGGCCCGGAGGTTACCTGACTTATCCTGTGACTTGGGGTTCTTGGGGACTGAATTCTACCCCAGAGGAAAATGTGTTCTTTCGGGCTCGGCTTCTCATACCGTCCCCTCCCTTTGAGCAGTGGGCAAAGGGGTCAGGAGAAATAGACCCATAAACAGATGGCGGGTGGAGGACGGGTGAGGGTTCCAAAGAGATCCTAAGAGTGAAAGAAGACAAGAAAGCTGGGCCTGGCGTCGGGGCGCTGTCAAACAAATATAAAATGTGGCTCCAGGGAGATGAGAGCAAAGTAGGGAGAAGAGCAAGAAAAGTGAGGCTTGGAACTGGAGAAGAGCGGTGACTTACAGCCCTGCCAGACAGCACCGCGGTGGCCTTGCGGGTGTCTCCTGAACCCTGCTCTTTGAATTTGATGGTGTCCCATGCTTTAGCCTTGAAGCACTGCTTTTCCTTACTTCCATGGATTTGACACCATATAGGTCTCCATTTACCCCGCAGACCTCTCCCAGGAACCCTAGCCTCCTGGGTCCAGGTGTCCTCTCCTCTTTGCTGGGACATGGCAACGGGTATCTCTGCCTTCACAGTCCCCGTGTGACGTCCTGAGCTCTGCACGTCACTTCCTCTGTAGTCTTCGGTGTGGCGGGTACGGTTGACCCCGCCCTTCCTGTGGCTTAAAAGAACGCTGTGTGTGTATTTTAAGTATACGATGCTGTGGGAAGCCAGCCATGGCCCACTGGCTTTTTGATTTGACCCTGCACGGGAGAAACTCGGACAGCCAAAGATCTGTAGGAGTCAGGTGCTTCCTGTTAAAGATCTGAAGTTATCTGTAGGAGTCAGGTGTTGTAACTCCATTTTGTTAAGTTCCTCCACCTATTTGGGAATCATGATTATCAGTTGCAAGTGTTGTTAATTTGTTTTTCTTGAGCCTGATTTATCTTTCCCGTGTGAACCCTCGTTCCCGTGGAGCGGGTGTTGAGGTTACTATGGTAATCCTAGCCCATAATAGTTTGCTCTTTTCCTTTAAAAGGCAGATGCTTGCCCTCAATAAATGTCGCCTTGATCAGACTCTTGTCTTGGCGTCCTTCCTTTCTCTCTGCCCCATCTCCACCCCGCTGCTCTTTCAGGTTGGAGGCACTGCTGGACAGTGCTCTGTGTCGCTGGCTCGCGACAGGATGCATTATAATATGTGGAAGTATTTTTATTTAAATTAGATCACATCTTTATATTAGATGGATGACAAAGTCCATCATTACAAAATTTCAGATGTGAGAGAAGTAGGAGAAGATCTAACCCACACCTGCTCTGTTTCCGGAAGTCTCTCCCAGCCTTCATCTCCTGCATTATCCTCCTCCCTGCCCATTCTGCCAGCCACACAGGCCTTTTGACTTCTCCTGGGGTTGTTGTGGCTCCTGGCTCAGGGCTTTCTCTTGGTTCTCTCTCAGATTACAACTTCCTGGCCATCAGCTGCAGGTGGCAGACACCTTCCTTCTCAGGTCTACAATGTCTACTTGGAGATTTCTGTGACCTGTTGCTTCCACTGACATCCTAACCAAACATAAACCCCGTCTCTGGTCCATGTTGCCTGCTCTGTGAGTTTCTTTCTAATCTTTCCTAGTCCACTGTCTGGGTCCTGGGGAAAACAAGGCTCCAAAGTAGAGGAATGTGAGAAAGTGGGACATTGATCTTACCCTACTACTGGTAATTAATTCAGGCTTCCTATTGCTGGAAGTCCCATTCCCATGGTCAGCCTGGGAACCAGACTTAGTAATGTCAATGTTAATTCTATTCTGAGTGCAGCACTGAACACCCAGACTGTGTCCTATATTTTTGAGGTCTGAGATCAGTGTGTGATCCATGGAGGGATGAGGGGATGTACTGTGCATGGGTCTGGTCAGGGCTGGGACTATGTCCTGGAGGAGAACTCGGTGCAGCCCAGCTCCCCACTGCTGCTGGGTGTTGGGGCTTCACCAGGAGGTGGGGACACACACACACACACACACACACACATACACACACTCTGAAAATGTCAGGGAAGTTTCCTGTTGGACCTCCTGTAGGAGTTGCATATCACTGCATCCCCACCCACCCTCAGTGCAGTAGGGAGCAGCAGACCCATCTTTCTACATGGTGAGGTTCTCTTTTGTGAGTGTGTATTAGGGAAAGAGGATATGTTCATTTTGAGCATTAAGTACCCTGCTTTTGACATTCAGGATTATCTTTTTCTTTTTCCTTCTGAGAAGCGTCTCATTCATTAGTTCAGGCTAACCTTGAACTCACTATGTATCCCAGGCTTGGCTTGAACACATGGCAATCTGCCTGCCTCAGCCTCCCCAGTGCTGCGATTACACATGTGGATCACCACGCCTGGCTAGGATTAACTTCTAAAGACTCATGTTACATAACAAAGAAGACTGGAAGAGGAGGAAGAGGAAAGAAAAGGAGTCAAAAATGGCTATTTTTGAGGTAAAATAGTGATCTCGTTTGCTTGCTCTGTCTCCCTCCTTTGTGAAGTGCTGGATACAGGACTGCTAACCCATGATCCTGCAGCCGGTGTTTGCTGGCATCCGGGCTGCCCTCAGCCTTTCTCAACCCCACTGAAACGCCATCTCACTGGGACCAGAGATGTGGATCATGAGGAGGCTCCATTGGTTTTGTTTCTGGGAAGAACCTACCATTTTTGTTCATGTTTCCAAAAAGTTAATGTTTTATTATTTAATGTGTTTGCTGTGTCATTTATCTCTGCCCTGATGATAATTTTTTCCTTCCTTTTGCTTATGATAATATTTTTTGTTGTTGATAGAGGTATAAAGTTTTTTGGTTTGAGTTTGTCCTTTGTTCTGGATGTAAAATTTAACCACTTTAGACTTTACTACATTCCATCAGTTTTGACATATTTGTTTTCATTTTACTTTAACTATAAATATTGGTTATTTGAAATTTTCACGTTTGTGAGGTTTTGTATCTCCTTAGCTGTTGATTTCTGTACTTGTTCCATTGTGTACAAGAAGAAAATTAGAATAATTTCTAGTTTCTTGAACTTATTGAAGATTTATTTTAACCTAACCTGTGATATAATATATACTTGTTCCGTGTATGTTTTAGAGGTAGTTTCTGCTGCCGTTGGGTAGAATATTCTGTATAGGTCTGTGAGGTGCATGTGCTGGGTAGTATTGCTGAAGCCCTCTGTTTATTTGTTGATCCTGTCTGGTTATTCTGTCCATAAGTGATGGTGGAGCATGAAGTGTTCTGCAGCGCTTGTGTTTCTGTCTAATCCTGCTGTGTGTGCTTCATACATTTGCGAGGGTTAATAGTGAGTACATGCTTGTAATTCTATTTCCTGGGTCACTGCCCTCTTAATAGTTAGGAAAAGTCCTTCTTTTCCTCTTGGGACATCTTTTGTCTTAAAGGTTATGTTTTTGTTTTTGGCTTTTTTTTTTGTACTATGGATCAAACTTGGGTCCTTGCACTTGTGAGGTGGCAGAACCACTGAGCTAAATCCCTTGCTTAAAGTAGAAGAATAACCACCCCTGCTCTCTTTGGGGTTCCTCTTTTTACCTTTTCACTTTTAGCCTATGTGAGTCCTTTAAACAAAAGTGAATGTCTTGTTTACAGCATGTAGTTGGATCTTGGTGTCCTTTTTTTCCTCACTCTTCAGCCAGTATATGTCTTACAATTTGAGCATTTAATTCAAATTGGACACAATTATTTATAGTGAAGGACTTACATACCTTTACCTGGAGTTTTATATTTTTTCCTTTGTTTTTCTGTTTGATTTCAACTTCATGATTTCTCTTTAGAAATTCTTGAGCTGGGCAAGCTCTTGCATGTGTTTAATCCTGTCTGCTCTAGAGGGTGAGGCAGAAAGATCTTAAGTTTGAGGCCAACCTGGGAAAATCAACAAGACCCGATCTAAAAAATAATAATAATAATAAAATAAATAAATAAAACAAAAAGAAAACAACTCTTAATTTGTATCTGGCTACTCTCAAGTTTTTCATTTTTCAAGAACCGTTTTGCCTGATGTAGTATTGTTAACTGGCAGTGTTTTCCATCAGCGCTGTAAACCATCTGAGACATCTTCTGACACTTCTAAGAGTGTGCTCCAGAGTGGAAGTCACTTTTCTCTTACTGTTGTCAACATTCTTTTTTGTCTCTGATTTTCAGTGTTTCCATTATGATGTGTTTTGATGTAGGTCTCTTAGATTTATTCTAATTGGATTTCTCTAAGTTTCTTCAGTTTCTGTCCACTCATATTTGAGTGATTTGGGACAATCTTAATTTCAAATAGGATCTCTTTACCCCTTTCTTCCTCTTCTGAGATGCTTATGATTGTGTCTTTATAGAAGTCCCTTAAGCCCTTCTGTTTGCCTCATTTTTTCTTGCTCCAGGGCTCCAAACTCTTTTCTGAGTTTCTCAGTTGCTTGCTGTGTTTTTATTAAATCCTTGTTTCTTTGAGGAAGGGAACGTCTAGGGCTTCCTGCTCCTTAATCTTACTAACGTCAGTGCTTCAGAGAAGTTGCATAATTTCTTTTTATGGACCAAAAAATGTCTTTCTTATGTGCCATAGTGTATCTGCTAGGGGAAGTGTAAGATGTGTCATGCATACGTGCACATGAGTGTGTGTTTAATGAGAGTAACTAAGGGAAGATTATTTTCACTGGTTTTAGTCCTACATTTAAATAACATTTTTCCAGGGTGAAGTCATGGTATGTTACGTTTTACTTTTTTATTTATTCATTTTAAATTTTCTTGAGACAAGAATCTCACTATTAGTTCAGGTTGGCCTTGAACTCACTATGTCGCCCAGGCTAGCCTTGAACTCCAGCAATCCTCCTGCCTCAGCCTCCCAAGTGCTGGGATCACAGGCATGTACCACATGTCTGACCTGTTAATTTTTTTTTAAAATTCAACTCTTCGCTATTTTCCCTGCTCTCTTAATTTCCACCTTTTTCTCTCCTTCCTGTTCCCTGTTCAGGCATCCTATACAATAGTGATCGGGTGGAGCCCAAACAGCCCCCTTTTCTCCTTGACCAGGAGGAAGTGCATCCAGTGTTCACTGATGTTTGGTAAAATATACTTGGTAAATATCAGGCTTAGTGGTTTTATGTTTTCAAGTTACATTTTGGGGCTGCTTTTTAATTTTTCAAATATAGTATACCTCACGAAGTTGAGAATCAGAGTTCGTTGCCTTGGTTCTTGAATTTTTCTTTACAACCTAGGTAGCAATCATTCCTAGACTCCCCAGCAGTTTTGTGGACTCAGCAAATATCCTCTGCAATTGTTTTTGTTGTTGTTGTTGTTGTTTTTGATGGGATGTTTACAAGTAGCCACTTCAGGGGTGTTACTCAGTTTCTCTTGCTACTGATTGGCTGCTGCCATGTAACCCATCTCTGGCAGATGCACCTGCATTCCTGCATCATAACCGGTTGCTGTACCGCATGTAGCTATCTCAAGTGCTCTTGGTTTTGTTCCTGTTGAAGCCCTAAGATCCCAGAGATGTTGCCAAAATGTCCTGCACCTTCTAAGGCTTTATTAAAACAGAATTTTATTAAAGTAAATTGCATAACTGTGGGAGACAGCATATTTAGGGTTTAAAGTAGAAAAATAGACACAAGTATTTTTCTGATCACATCTGAACTTGGTGGTTTTCAAAATTTGTGGGTGCTCTAGGAATTTAACCCCTGCACATTTTGGGAATCCACTGTAATTCTTTTTACTATATACTTTTGAAATATATAACTTTTTCTGTTAAATTAATTATATTAAATGTTTTCTGGGCTGGGTATATAGCTCAGAGATAAAGTGCTTGTCTGGTATGGGTGAGGCCCTGGTTTTGACCTCAGAACCACAAACTTTCAAAAACTCCAAATTTTACACTTTACTAAGCTTGTAAATTCTGTTTGAATTTTTATAATGCTTAGATATCTGAATTTAAGTCATTAAGTTGTAAATATATTTTTAGTATGAGTAGTTAGTAAAAATTGGAGTTCAAGTTTGATCATATAAATTTTGTTGTTTCCTGGAACCAGTTACCTCATTAGCATATAAGACCATCTTTATCACTCCAGAGATTCGAAGTGTGGGTCCATCCACAGCATGGATCTAGCTCACTCACTTCAACTGAACTGGCCCTTACCTTTCCCTCCTTTTCATTTCTATGGAGATTCTAACTCTCTCCAGTTCCCCGTGGTGATACATACTTTTCATTTCAGGGTCTGTTGACATTCAGGGATGTGGCCATAGAGTTCTCCCGGGAGGAGTGGAAACACCTGAACCCTGCTCAGAGGACTTTATACAGGGACGTGATGCTGGAGAACTACAGGAACCTGGTCTCCCTGGGTGAGGACGGCTTCCTCCAGAAGTCAGATCTACTCCGTGTCTCTGCGTTTCCCGTGTCTTCATGGGATCCTCTGCATTGTCTGACTGAGGCAGATTCCCTGTTGCCTGTGAAATGTGAAGCTTCCCAGTGCACCATCTGCACTTAACTGTCTGCTTTCTTCAGGTGCTCTGCTCACTTTGTGATAAATACATCAGTGATAGTTTCAGAGCTGAAAGGTATGAAGCCTTATAGCAGGCTTTTAAAATATGCAGTTTCATGGGTTTTTTTTTTTTTTTTGGTACTGGGGATCGAACTCAGGTCCTTGTGCTTGAGAGGCAGGCGGCGGAACCACTGAGCTAAATCTCTGGCCCCAATTTCATGTTTTTTATACCTGTGCTTTCGAATCTCTGGTCCTTAGAGCTAGATACTACATATAATGGTGAAGTATTTGTCTAGATAACTCTGCAATCTCTTTCTCAAGTAAACAGGGCTGGATTGTGGAAAAGTCACAGCACACTGCATGCCTTTGATTTTACAACAGGAACGTCTCCTCTTGACCTGAGTGTTGTCTCCGTGTTGGAGTGAGGAGGAGAGCCCCGGAGTGTGGATGGCCAGGTGAAAGTGTCCAGGATCTCACACGGGTGGGAAGGTGTCAAAGGTGTGACCACCGGTAAGAGCTCAGATGGGCAGAGTGGAAGGTGTACCATTAAATAGTGTTTGGAGAACTTTAGTAGTGAGAGTGTCTGTGGGAAGATAAGTGTACTTCCTGTGAGCTCAGAGATTATGGTTTTCCTTATCATCAGTTTTCACCTGTCAGCTGAGTGATGAGGGTAATGTTTGGTTCTCTTACCTGCCATGTTGCTGCAGTTCACACAGAAAGACAGTGTCTCTTACGATGGGCGATACTGTGCTGCTGGCTTCTGTGAAGTCCTTAGTTCCTGACTCTGTGCTGTGTGGGGAGGGCCCTTTGAGTGTCCCATTACACTGTTGCATTCTTGATTCCATCTGTTATTCAATTCTCTTTCCATAAACATCAGAGTAGAGGAATGCATGGTGCTGATCCCTACATCATGTTCTATTTCCATCTGTGACTCCATTTTCTGTGCTTGGAAGGTCTGGTCAGGAGATGGGAAACCATGGCTGCTCATCCTTACATCTGAGACCCCCCAAAACCACACTGGGCTGACCCAGCTGTCTCTCCCTGCTGTGCTGACTTAGCCCTTTCTTCCATATTGCTTTTAACATTTCTCAGCTGTGAATAATGGGAGTGTGTTGGATCTTCTGAGACTGTTATTCCTCAGAGCCCTAGAAGTCAAAAGGCAGGTCTCCTCTTTGATCAGCAGTCCTCATAGTCAACTTTTTTTGCTCACATAGGGTGTGTTGACAAAACAGATTTTCATCTCAAGGTATCCCCAAATCCTTCTGCTCTATATATGTTTTTTTCTTTCTTCCATTACTCTTACTTTTTGTTTGTTTGCTTGTTGCAGTACTGGGGATTGAACTCAGGACCTTGTGTTTGTGTGGCAGCTGCAGCACCACTGAGCTAAATCCTTGGCCCTTACTGGTCTTTGAGTGTAGAAAATCCTTGGCTCTTCCTGATCTTTCTTTTTTTATTGTTTGCTATTTTGCCTGTGAATTTTTTGTTTGTTTATTTTGTTATTTTTGTTTCTTTTGTGTGATACTGGAAGTGCAACCCAGGGTCACCCTACCACTGAACCATATCCTTGACCATTTTATTGTTTTTCTCAGACAGGAACTTACTGAGTTCCTCTGCTGGCATCGAACTTGCAATCTTCTTGGCTCAACTTCCAAAGTATCTAACACACAGTTCAATTTGCTTTTGATGTACAAATTCCTAGAGTCCGACATCTCATCCTTCTGTGCTGATAACCCACTTTGAGGCTATACATAGCTTCTTGTGGACTATTCCATGGAGTGTGTGCATTGACATAAAAACCAGTGAAGGAGAATAGTTTGCCTTGTACTTTAGAATCTCATTCTGCCACCTGCCAAGTATCCCTGGAAACCCTGAGTGGGGTTCTCAGCCTGCCTCAGGATATTTGAGACCCTAGAAACTACACTGAGCTGTTGCAACAGATGCAGATATTGGTAGCTCCTTACTGCCCATTAATTTCTTGTATTTCCGAGATACCTCTCCTAAATGTATCATCAGGGAATTTCCACCAAAAAGTAAAAGTGATACAGGAGAAATGTTCCACACAGTAATGTTGGAAAGACATAAAATCCATGACATTCAAAAATTGTGCTTCAGAGAAATCCAGACAAATATACATGGCTTCAAGTGTCAATGGAGAGAGGATAAAAGACTTGACACAGTATTATGTGTGGCTCAGAAGGAAAATCTCACTAACAGAAGAGACAAACATGATAGAAGAAATGCAGGAATTAAACATATTACAAATTGGCTTGGATTAAACTTTCAGTTACATCTCCCTGAACTGCAGCTATTTGAAACAGAAAGGAACATTAATGACTCGAGTTACGTTGAGCAGTGTGTTAGTAGTGATTCCTCAGAGTCATCCCACGAAAAAAATCCTTCTAGTGTTAAAACAAACATTTCTCATGTAACTGGAAATGATTTTCTTGATTCTTTATTTTTTCACTCAAGAACCAGTGATGCACATTAGTACAAAACCTTTCAAATGGAATAAGTGTAACAAATCTTTTAAACAAGGCTCACACTTTACTATGCATCAGATAGGCCATGCTGAAGAGAAACAATTTCTATGTGATATATGTGGCAAGGTCTTCAATCAGAAATCAAACCTTAGAAGTCATCAGAGAATGCACACTGGAGAGAAGCCTTAAAAATATAATGAATGTGGCAAGGTCTTTAGTCACAGTTGCTACCTTGTACAACATCTGATAATTCAGACTGGGGGAAAATCTTATAAATGCAATGAATGTGGCAGGGTCTTTAGTCACAGATCATAGCTGGCAAACCATCAGAGAATCCATACTGGAGAGAAACCTTATAATTGCAGTGAATGTGGTAAAGTGTTCAGTCATAGGGCATCCCTAGTAAAGCATCAAAGAATCCATACTGGAGAGAAACCTTACGAATGTAATGAATGTGGTAAAGTGTTCATTTGTAACTCACACCTTGCAGAACATCTGATAATTCACAATGGAGAGAAACCTTTTAAATGTAATGAATGTGGCAAGGTGTTCAGTCCAGTTCCCACCTTGCTTGTCATCGTATCATTGATACTGGAGAGAAACCTTACAGATGTAATGAGTGCGGACAGATCTTCAGTCACAATTCATACCTTGCATGTCATCAGAGGATTCATACTGGAGAGAAACCGTACAAATGTGAATGTAGCAAAGTATTCAGTGAAAACTCATCTCTAGCACATCACTGGAGAATTCATACTAGAGAGAGACCTTACAAATGTAATGAGTGTGGCAAGGTCTTCAATCAAATATCACACCTTGTAAATCATCGAACAATTCACATCAGAGAGAAACCATACAAATGCAATGAATGTGGAAAAGTGTTGCATCAAATTTCACACCTTGCCCAACATCAAATAATTCACACTGGAGACAAACCTTTCAAATGTAATGAATGTGGCAAGGTATTTAGTCACAACTCCTACCTTGCACAACATCTAATAATTCATACTGGAGAAAAGCCTTTCATATGTAATGAATGTGGCAAGGACTTCAGACAGAAGTCATACCTAGCAAGTCATCAGAGAATCCATACTGGGGAGAAACCTTACAAATGTAGTGAATGTGCCAATGTTTTCAGGTATAGGTCATCTCTAGCAAAGCATCAAAGAATCCATAGTGGAGAGAAACCTTACAAATGTAATTAATAATGTTAATCGTGTTAGGGTTAGTCTTGTCCTTTCCTTTGAAGCAAAAGGATGATAAAGAGTAACACAAAAGCATATGCAAATAGAAAACTCCCAGGCATAAATTAGTAACATGTACAGAATCTTGCACTATTTAATGTCAAATGTAGAAATCACTTCTATATCTGACAAAGAATTTTTGAAAAAACCATAAAAGGTAATTACAAATCTATGTTAATGTATATACAATATAAAAAGATGTCATTTGTGTCACTAGTAACAGACAGAGGGAAAAAGCAGTGGAATAGATTCTACAAGAAGTCACTTTAACTTGCCATCCATTTAAAACACATTGTTATAACCTTAATCTGTTTTAGGTTAACTGCGTTTATAAACACACAAAAAAAAGCTACAGAATATATACAAATGGAACCGAGAAAGTAATCAAAACACATTGCTACAAAAAACACATGAGCTGGATTGGAGATGTAGATAAGTAGTAGAACATTTGCGTAGCAGGCAAAAGGCCTTTATGTTCAATCCCTGGACCATATAATTAACTAACTTTTCAATTAAAGCAAGGGGATTTAGAAGGGCAAAATAAAGATTGTCACAACATAATTAACAAAATGTCAACAGTAGGTTCTTCCCAATCAGTACTTCTTTAAATATAAATGGAATCAATGTCCCAACTAAAAAGACATACATTGTGGAACAGACAGAAAGAAAGAGACACAACTGTATGTTGACTACAAGAGACTCGCCTTAGAGCTAAGAAAACCGATAAGGTAAAAAGGTAGAAACTGACAACCAATGCAAATGAGAACTTAAAAGAGAGCAGGAATATACTTTAAGATACAAACTGTCGCAAGACACAAAAGACATTATATAATAATAAAAGTCAACTCACTACGAAGACATAAGAAATATATCTTTTTTGGGGGAGTGGTTATCAGTAATTAAATGAACTGAAGGCCTCTTGTATACTAAAAAAAAAGTGCTTAGCTACAACCCCGCCCTTTCAATTTTATTGAGACAGGATACTGACAAGTTGGCCAGGCTAGCGTCACACTTGTTATCCTCCTGCCTCAGCCACTTAACTAGCTGGGATGACAGGTATATGCCATCACAACTGGTTAAAGATGACCTAACACCCACACTTAACTGATTTTCTTGTTTTCTGCTTGTTATTTATTCTATTCCATTCTATTCTGCTTGGACAAGGTATTTTCAGTCTTTTAAAAATTATTCAAAATTTGTGTCAAAGGTTAGAACAACCTAATTTCAAAAATTTTTTAAAGGAATAGGGATGTAGCTCAGTGGTACAGCACTTGCCTCACATGTAAGGCCTGGGTTCAACTAAAACCAAACAAAACCCTTCGTTCTTAAAAATATACTTTATCAAAGAAACAAAACATAATTTAGAAACTATCTGGAGACAAACTAAAATACAGTATACCAAAACTTAGGAGACACAGTGAATGTAGTAGTAAAAAGGTTTATATGAATAAACAGATTTAAAAAGATCTTGTATACATACACCTAAACATTGTGTGATATCCCATAAATATGTAAAATTTTTATCATCTTTTTTAAAAAGCTCATGTTTTCGTTTTAAAAAAAGTTTAAAAAAGGAAAGACCATGTCAACAATCTTAACTTTTTTTACCTCAAGAAAATAGAAAAAGATAAACTAAATACAGTTAGCAGAAAGAGAGAAATAACAAAGATTAGCACAGAGATAAGTAAAATAGAAAACTAAAAAATAATACAAAGATGAAAATAACCAAGAGTTGGCTTGGAAAGATCAATATAACTGACCCTTAGCTAGACTACTTGAAAAAAACTCAACTCAAATTAGACAGGAAAGAAGAAATAATATAATTGATGTCCCAGAAGTAAAAAAACACTCCTATAAACAACTGTATGCCAACAGACTGGATAACCTAGAAGAAATGAGTACATTCTTAGAAACATACAACCCACTTACACATAAACATGAAGAAAAACAGACATAAAACAGGTCTATAAGGCTTATTCCAATAGCCCCAGAGATGCATGAAGTGGTTAAGTAGTATCAAACCTTTTAGTTTCCAGGACCACGCCCAACAGAGCCTCCTCACATGATCTATGTCTCCTGGTCACCCTGAAATAGCATCTTAGATGGAGCTGAGAGGGGCTGAGGGAGGAACAGGTGAGTGAAAGCAAACATGTCAGGCAGGAGACTTGAGTCAGCGATTAGCAGCTCCTATACTCAGCACTTCAGAAAGGAGGGATAGAGACCAACAAGTCACAAGTACAACTTTACCTGAGCAAAAGCCATTACTGACTCCTTTTCCTTCACTTCTGGACCTCTTCCTCAGGCAGTGAGTCTTCAGCAGTCAATCTGGAATGGTTAAAATAAGTTACTTAGTGATCTGAATCCACATAACCACTTCCAGTGCTACAATGCAGGAAAAGACCTCACTATGCAAAATGGTGATCCTCCACTGCCATGCACCAAGAGGGAAGAATCTACAGAGACTGACTTTCCAGAATTCATTCCCAAGTATACACTGCAGCACTGGGATCTGAGCTGAACTGAGCCTTCAAGTCACAGACCCAGCCCTGATTAAACCGGAAGCAGAGCAGTCCCTCTCACCCACCTATGGATCACAGGCTGATTGCAGCCCTCAGAAATGGAGGACACAGCCTGGGTGCCCAAGGATGGGGCAGATTAGAATCATCTGAGACACCAAATAGTGAACCTTCCTTTATGAATGACAAGCTTTAGTAAGGTGGCATTTACAAAATGTTTCAGCTCTCTACTGGAAAGCCAAGGTTTGGCACTGCTGGACAGAGCAGGATGAAATTAAAAAGAAAGAAATAAATGGGCTGATTATCTATTATTCAAAATGCTTAGGACCAAAAGTTTTCAGACTGTGCACATTTTCCAGATTTCAGAATTTTGGCATCTACAAGAGATATCTTGGGAACAGGACTCAAGTCTACACATGAAATTAACTTCTATTTCATGTAAGACTTATGAAAAGAGCCTGAGGGTAAACTCATGAATTTTTGTTCACCAGGGCTTTGCCTGTGGCCTATCACATGAGGTGAGGGGCTGGAGATCAAGTTACTAACCTATCACACCTCTGTGATCAAGCCTTCATACAAACCCCTTATCTATAGAGTTTAAAGTCCTTCCCTGGTTATGAGCACCTCCAACTGCTAGGAGGGTACTGCATCAAACTGAGAACAACAGAAGCTCCTCCAACTAAGACCCATCCCTGTCCTTGCTCTATGTATCTTATCACCTGGCTGTTCATCTGTATCCTTTATCAGAGCCTTCATAATATAATAAACTGGTAAGTGCCAGTGTTACCAAGTCCTGTGACACGTCCTCACAAATTAATCAAACCTGAGGAGATAGTTATAGGCAAATAGGTTAGAAGCATAGAGGACAACCTGCTACCCTGTAATTGATAATCTGAGATGTGCAGCAGTCTTGTACGATGGAGCCCTAAATCTGTGGGATCTGGCTCTAATTCCAAGTACATAAATGAACTGAATTACAGGAACCCATATAGTGTCCAATGGAGAAGTTCTTGTTGTATGGGGGGAAAAAACCCATACATCTGGCATCAGAAGTATTCAATGTTTTACTGAAAATGTAATCAGAGAAAAACTTTTTTTTTTCAGCTAACTCTGGAGGCTAAGTCAAGCCCACCTCCTGATTTCTGGCTCTGTTTCCTACTTGGGACAGGGTCCAGAAAATAGAAGTAGAAGGCCCAGGATAAACACACAGAGCAGGCTATGGCCCAGAAGCGGGAGCGAGAATGCGGCTGGAACGCTACTGGGAGTGTGGTCGGTCACATCACAGATCTACGTGGTGAAGGCTTAAGGAAAGAAGGGTAACGGCCACTTGCAGCTAGAGTTCTAGGCAGAGGAACAGCCCAAATGAAAGCCTCAAGACAGGAAGCTTGGTACTGGGGAAGAGGCCAGTGTGGCTGGAACAGAGGGCTGCGAACGAGGACACCGCAGGGAAATGAATAGACACAGACCTCAGAAGCACACAGGCAGAGCCGAAGCTTTGAACATTTTCCCATACTTCAAAAGAATTTTGGAAACCACATATTCCCTTGCCTTGTTCCTTAGCAAACATTTAATTTTTTCTTTAAAAGGGCTAGGAGTGTGGCTCACTGGTAGAGCACTTACATGATATCCAGCATGGCAACTTTAAAAAAATTAAAGCCCTTACAGATAACAAAATATATTTTAAGGACATGATGAAACAGTCCCCTCAATCCCACTGCGTCACTCTTGCCTGAGACGTGCAGGACTATGGAGGGAATATGTTTAGGGAAACTCAGAAAGCAACTTTCTGAGCTAGGTGTGGTAGCACACACCTGATATCCCTCTCTTTGAGAGTCTGAGGGAAGGGGATCCCAAGTTTGAGCCTCGCCTGAACAACTCAGCAAGACCCCATCTCAAAAATTTAAAACAAATTTTAATGTTGCACAGCGCAGACGCCCTGGGTTCAATCCCTAATTAAGAAAGGGGGGGAGGTTAGAAAGTAAGTCACTTGGACAACCAAAAGTGGAGATGCTGGTTAGGCTTTTCAGTACAGATGTCCAGGAGACTACTGGACACAGGATCGTGGAGTTCTGGGGAGAGGACCCGACAGAATGGGAAACGGAGCAATACCGGACGTGGCCAGAGAGCTGCACATTTCCACCCGGGTGGAATTCGGGACACAAGCACCCTAGTCATAGGACAGGCCCAGGCCACCCGCACGGAGGGGAGACTGCGAGGGGAGGAACGGGGGGCCGGGTCGCCGCGGCCCGGGAGGGAGGGGCCTGGAGCTCCTGAGCCCCGCAGGGCCCACGCGGCTCTCCCCGCGGCCCGACTTGGGAGGAGAGCGCGATGTGGGGACCCGATGGTCACTAGGGACCAGATCCAGACCGTGGAAAAACTAGGGGTCAGCGAGGCACAGACCAAACCCAGTCAGAAGGAAACTCACGCGCGGCACTGTGACCTCCACTCCACAGGAACCACTTCCGGGTCTGCAAGGTGCTGCGCGCGCAGCCCACTGTAAGGCGGGCTTGTAGGAGCGATCCACGGGGGTGGGCGGGGCCAGGGGGCGGGGCGAGGAGGTAGGCCGTTCTGGGCGGGACCCGAGACCCAATGGGCGGGGCGAGGAGGAAGAGGCCCGAAAAGGGAGAAAACAGGGCGGTGGGCGGGGCAGAGGCGGGGGTGTGGCAGACAAGAGGCGGGAAGGGGGTAGAGACACGAGGAAATGGGCGGGACATGGGCTGGAGACTATCGCCATTAAGCTCCTTTTGGACAGCTGAAATGTTGGGTCTTGCTTTGTGGGGTTTGTTACTGTTTTTTTTCTCCCAGTTGTTTTTGGTGGCAGTGAAGATTGAACCTTACACATAGGCAAGCGCCCTACTACAGAATTATGTCCCTCGTCCTGTTGTTTTTTAATCATTCAGCCACTCTTAGTAATTGGATTAAACCCCAAATCCCAAGATATTGATAGATAAGTGTCGCGAGCCAGCGACGCAGAGCACTATCCAGCAGTGTCTCAAACCTGAAAGAGCAGCGGGGTGGAGATGGGGCAGAGAGAAAGGAAGGACGCCAAGACAAGAGTCTGATCAAGGCGACGTTTATTGCAGGCAGGCATCAGCCTTTTAAAGGAAAAGACCGAACTATTCTGGGCTAGGATTACCATAGTAACCTCAACACCCGCTCCACGGGAACGAGGGTTCACACGGGAAAGAGAAAGCAGGCTCAAGAAAAACAAATTAACAACACTTGCAACTAATAATCATGATTCCCAAATAGGTGGAGGAACTTAACAAAATGGAGTTACAACACCTGACTCCTACAGATAACGTCAGATCCTTAACAGGAAGCACCTGACTCCTACAGATCTTTGGCTTTCCGAGTTTCTCCCGTGCAGGGTCAAAAACAAGTTTAACACGTGCAGTCCTTAAAAAGGAACAAATGTTATCTCTCAAAAAGCCAGTGGGCCATGGCTGGCTTCCCACAGGTAAGGCCTTAACTATTGCCGTTTTGTTAATTGCTTACGTTGTAAAAACATTATGTGTAGGAATGTGCCATCCTTTTTCATTTTTTGAAATAGAGTCTCGTTTAAACTGCGCAGGCTGTCTTCAAACTTGGGATCTTCCTACTTCAGCCTCTGGAGTAACTGGGATTTCAGGTGTGCTGCACCACACTCAGACTGAAATGTATTTTTACAAACTAAATGAAATTGTCAGTTTAATGACCTCGAAAGCCTTTCTGAAGGAATTAAGGGCCCTGTTTGTAATATAAGCAGGGAGCCAGCAACTGTATCCCTGCGTTTCCGTGAGATTATGAAAGCTAACTAGAATGGGCACCTGCTCCCAGGTGGAAAACTAGCACCTGTCAGAAATGTATGAGCTTAAATTTTTATCTGCTGCCTCTGGGTAGAGCTCCTTGGGTACACATAGGTCGTTCCCAAAGTTACCAAGTAGTTCAGCATAAACTGTGCTATATACACCTGCATCTGTATATTTAAGGGAAGAGCAAAGTTGGGTTTATCCCGAAATGAGTATGGAGTGGATTACATAAGAGGATGAGGGTTTTAGATGGAAGTCGTGGCACATGCGTGTAACTCCAGTACTCTGGGAGGCCGAGGCAGGGGGATGCAAGTTTAAGCCAAGCTTGGCATACTTAGTGAGGCTTTGTATCCAAATCAAACATAAAAAAGGGCTGGAAGAAAATAATAAAAAAAATTTAAAGGACAGAGTGTAGCTCTGTACAAAGCCCTGTGGTTCAATCCGTAGTACCAAGGGGAAAAAGACAATTTTTTTCTTCCATTTTCAATCTCTTAGCAGATTGCTTCTATTGCCCATGACATTGTGATCAGACCTCACATTTATTCATCTTATTTAAGTGCGTACTTTCTGTTTTCTCTGTGGAGAAGATATCTGGTCTCATGTCGCGAGCCGGCGACGCAGAGCACTGTCCCGCAGTGTCTCAAACCTGAAAGAGCAGCGGGGTGGAGGTGGGGCAGAGAGAAAGGAAGGACGCCAAGACAAGAGTGGGATCAAGGCGACGTTTATTGCAGGCAGGCATCAGCCTTTTAAAGGAAAAGACCGAACTATTATGGGCTAGGATTACTATAGTAACCTCAACACCCGCTCCACGGGAACGAGGGTTCACACGGGAAAGAGAAAGCAGGCTCAAGAAAAACAAATTAACAACACTTGCAACTAATAATCATGACTCCCAAATAGGTGGAGGAACTTAACAAAATGGAGTTGCAACACCTGACTCCTACAGATAACGTCAGATCTTTAACAGGAAGCACCTGACTCCTACAGATTTTTGGCTGTCCGAGTTTCTCCCGTGCAGGGTCAAAACAAGTTTAACACTTGCAGTCCTTAAAAAGGAACAAATGTTATCTCTCAAAAAGCCAGTGGGCCATGGCTTGCTTCCCACAGTCTCAGACAAGATTGTTTTTATTTTCAATTATATTTTCCAACATTTTATTTTTCAGTTTTGGGAAGCTTTTCCAGGACCACTGTGTCACTAAGCTATTATATCCCCAACTTTATTTTCGCTTATTTCAGCCCTGGGAAATCAACCCAGCGCCTTTGCAATTAACTACATCCCCAGCCCTTTTTTTATTTTTGTTTGTTTGTTTATTTTTAATTTTGAGACAGGATCTCACTAAGTCAGTGGGAGCGGAGATGAACATTCTGCAGAGGTTGCTTTGCATTTCGCGTCCTAGTTTTCATCTCCTTCAAAAGCAATTGAACGTCTTCTGTCAAAGGGCTGAAATTCACTTTAATAGTAGGAACTTTTGTAGATACAATTATCGTCCTACGTTGATGCCCTCCCGTCCCAGGGATACCTAGGTTCCCAAACCTCACAGTTGTCAAAAAAGCCTCACCCAGACGCCCGGGCAGCATGCAGAGGGGAGGAAAGGCCCCGCCCGGCCCCGCCCTTCCCCGACCCGGCCCC